GAGTCTGAGTCCGACATTGCTTGTGAGCCCGGGAAACCTTTATCGCTTTCATCCTGCGGTAAAATAAGCTACACGATAAAGTAAACTGTATTCATGTTAAAGAGAATCCACCCAACGAACATTACCTTCAAGCTGTCTTGAAAACTGGATGCCTGATATTGGGCATATTTGGCTATTGTTGTGTGAGACCGATGGGAAATGCAGGCCCAGACGCGCTTGCCCTGCGAAGTGTCCCAATTTTCATCGGGAGACTGGTGAACTTGGGTCCGGACTTCAACACTATGGTCCGGGTTGGCTTCCACCAACGTTTTGGTCGAAAAGAGACCGAGATCTAGCTTCAAGGCGCCCGCCAAGCCGCGTACAACGGCAATTGGATGTTTCAGGCAAAACTCCTGCAACTGAGGACTGAACGCGTTCTTCTTATTTTCTAAATGAACCGAAGGTGTGGGAGGCAGGAGTTGGTCTTGCGTGAGTTTCTGCGGTGGGCAATCGGGCGGAGATGGCGGGGGCGCATTCACTTGCAAAACGGTGCAGTGCACGGGCGGTTCGTCAATCGGCAGTAGCTTCACAGCTGCCATCAACTGCTTTGAATCCATTTGTATTTTGAACGTGGTCGATAGGTCGGCGCTGTCAGCACCAATATAATCGTACCTCGAATCCTCATTATTACTCAGTGCATCGTGGCTTAAACGTTCAAGTTTAATAGTCTCGTTCTGTTTATAAATATCATTCGAGATTTCGTCGAAGGTGTCTACAACACTTTGCTCCGAATTTTTGTTGCTCTCCGGCATGGCGTTGAAGTTGCGCTGGTTTAAAGATTCCGAAATGTCTATTTGGAATGTTAGAAAGTGAATTAAAACTTTATACATATTTTAAATTGATTACGTACTTATTAGATTTTGGGCAGATGTCTGGCTGTTGTTTTGCGTTACTTCTTGATGGCCTGTGCCATCTTCCTTAATACGCTTCGCAGGTATGGGACTTTGGCTGAGTTGGCTATGCGGATAAGGTGGTGGCGGTCCCTGTTAACAAACGTGGTTTGGATAATTGTTCTCTGATTGGTCTAAGTTTGAATTCACCTGTACTGGACTTTGTTTTGTGACCTGTCTTGGTAGCATCTGCGCTGTTTGTTGTTGGCGAGAGTTCATTTCTAATGATATTGGCAGGTTCCAAGCTTCTTCGATTGAACACAGCTGGCGGCGTTTCGATGTAATACTCGGCAATGGAGCTTGACTGAGCTGGCCCTCCAAGAAAGTGATTCTCTGAGACAAGCCTTTCGACAGCCCTATTGTGTCTTTTTTCATACGTATTGCTTGTTTTTTTCGAATTAATGAAGACTTCTTCGAGCAAAAACGTATGTTACATATTTGAAATAACTACACAAGCATATGTATACACTACCTGGAATGATATTTGTTTGGTTGCATTTAGGTAGCAAGCATAGGCATCTCGTAATTGACCACAGCTCTCATAAAGTATACCCAGATTGGTCCACGCGGCTTTATGGTCTTTATCCAATTGCACAGCACATATGTAAGCTTGAAGGGCATCCGTTGGTTGATTTTGTTGCTGATATAAGACGCTATGAATGTATTAAGAATGCATTTGAATTAAGGAATAAAGGGGCAAAGCAAAAACATTCATCGTTATTTTACCCGATTGAGCACCAAGTATCAGCATTCCCCTCACTTTTTTCCACCGAGTTGCGGTATGCTAGGAAAGCATCATGGACCTTATTGATGCCGGCGTAACACCTTCCTAGTAAATATAATGATTGTCCACTCTTTGGGTCAGCTTCAATTGATTTTTGTAGAAAATTTAATGCGTTTGCTTCACGTTCCTTTTTTTCGCCTAGGCATTCTACGCAATGGTACATCCATCCTTTACGAAGTCAATGAAAAGTTAGAGTAAAGTATTTAGCCGTTTAAAATATCCTTTTCCAGCTCACCTAATTGCCGATAAACATCTGCTTTTAGCTCCAAGGAGATGTTTTTTTCATTTAGTAGAAATTCGTAGCCATCCTTTGCCGCCTTGTGCTTGTTTTGAACTTCATACAAATGCGCGATTTGAAATTTTACTGAAAAGTATTAATAAAGAACTTAAGTAGTTGCCTAAGTTGTACGTAGTGAATGTACTGTAAAATATTCAAATTCCAAATGAATCACAGAAGTTTGGTTTAACTGTTTATCAATAAGATGATTTAATATTGTAATTCCCCTTACATATAACATTTATATACAATATTTATACGACCATTTTAAGATGATAAGGACGTAAAGTAAAGAACTGAAAAATATTTTCCGATCACATTGTCACATATGTCAAAATGTATAAATATAAGTACGTACCCTGAAGTTCGGAATAGGTCGAAGGATATGTATAAAGCAGCGCTAATTGCAAATGTTTTTGGGCAACATGAAACTCCCCGCAATGTTTTAGCATAAGACCTAGACGCAAATGAACTTCATTTGCACATGTAAAATTGGGACTTAGGTATAAAAGCTCCTGAAACGATTTGATGGCCCTGGAAAAAATAGCAAATCAATTAATTCAGACATTTTTTAAATTCCTTAATTTGATATTCATTTTCAATTTTAATTTAAATAATAATAGTTGTTTTTAATTTTAAATTAAAATGATAATAATTGTTTACAGTGAGCGGTGTTTACATAAGTGCATACATACTTACGTGCATGCAGTCACGTACACAAATGCACGCATTCGTACATACATACATACACATAACCATTTGAACAAACAAATTCAGATAACGTACTTAATTTAACAAGAACTGCAATGATTAGTGCATAAAATTAAAACTTAAATGTTAATCTGTTGCTAAAATGTGACCACGAAACACAGGTTTTGTTTATAAATAACAAAAGAACTTGCAGCCGTCGAGTCGGCAGACATGTCTGAGTGTACTCAAAAAAACGAGACAGACTGCTTCATGGTATTTTATTAGATATAATTAAACTGGGAATCATTGTTTATTTGTGCCGGACGCGATCGAAATTATTGAAATTAAACAAAGAACACATTTCAACCCCGCCATTAAACTAACGACCTTAAAGGGGGGCACTCATTGCATTTTGTACACAGACACACGCGCACACACTGCGTACATACATACATGCATGTAATGAGAATTTATGTATTTTTATAACAGCGAATTTGCAAAAACAAACAAAGAAGTACAATAGAAATCTTTATATTCTTATTAATTTTTGGCAATATTTCATGAGATTAAAGATTATTATTGTAAGTATTAATGTTTACAGCATCCATTACTTTTTTTAGAACCCAGACAACTGTGAAAAGATTCAAAACTAACCAGTAAACGCACTTTTTTTTATTGGAACAAATCTCTGCAGTCTTAATTTTAATTCGTTGTGAATTGTTTACAATATATATATACTATAAGTGGCAGTGTTGTTTCGTGTAGAATCTATTTAGTAAACAATTTAATATCAATACAATATGGATGTGAAAGGCGCGATAACGCAATTAAATGGGAACGATATGAAAACGGAACGTATACATCGATAACAGTTATCGACTATTTTAATTGATGAATGAATGTGCTTCCACTGCACATGCATCTACGTTCCGAAAATTCATATAAAATTCGGTACTTCGTTATTAAAGAAAATTTTTTTTTAAATAAAAATAATTTTAGTATTTTATAAAATAGATTGGTAGACACATTTGTATGTATGTACGGAGTATGTATGGAGATATTTCTCAAAAACAACTTATATTTAAGTAGCTTAAATATAAAAAAGATTACTTACCATTTAAAGCACCGAAGTTTAAAATAAGCAACACCTATTCCGTAAATAAATGCATGGTTTGTCCAGTAATTGTTTTCCCGGAATCGTAAGTACTTTTGGTACGCTGATAGAGCTGCAAAAATATATATGAAATATATACATACGATCTTACAAACAACTCGATTAATTAATGATTAATTAATGGACTAACCGATATCCTAATACTTTCCTGTTTTGCATGTCATAATGTCTTAGGCAATTGACATTCTATAAAAATGTTCTTGAGTTGGGAAAGAATTCAACTTCATTTGACTTTATGTATTACATAACCAGTAATAAACGGATATGCACGCCTGCCTAAGCTTGATCTCCAAATAATTAAGGTATATGCGAAAAATTTTACCGGAACTTCGATATTTCCTGTCATACCTATATTTTCATACATATATGATTCTAAGAGGACATAAGCATCCTATAGATGTTACTGGCACAGTCCTCGGATTGTATCTCGACAAGGGCATCTTCATGTTTATTTACCTTCAGAGTATTCGCCGAGTAGAAGATGCAGGTGGCCAAGTTTGCAAAGAGCGTTAACGTAGTGGTCGTCATGAAGTTTTTCATCAATGGTGGATACCTTTTCATTAGCATTTGTATCATATGGTTTGGTCTCATCATTGTTTTGTGACGATGTGTTTTCCATATGTTCACCTTCTTGAGTTAGGGGTTCAAACTTTTGTATAGCATTTTTGTTATCACTGAAGTTCTTCGAGTCGTGCACCTGACCATTTGCAATGTAGTTTTGCAAGTTTGTAATGGTCTGCTGAACGAGAGTCCTTATTTCCGCATTCTTCGAATTGGACAAATCCAAAAAGCCGTAGTATCGACTGAAACGTAAATATTATTAAACAAGACTTGGGCGAATAGCATTAATCGTACCTATCCAGTTCGCGAATCAGGCAATCATCCTCGAAAGAAAGTTGCCCCATTTTCAAGCCAACTGTTTTAAAACTACTGAGCTTCAGAAGCGTGGCCAATAATACAGCGTAGTTTTTAAAATCTTTTTTTATTTATATGTTTAGTTTAGAGATGACACTAAAATATTCTTAGAGATGAGCTATGTTTCCAATCGTCGACGTGTCACGCATTCCTTTAATGTGTGTTTCGCACTGCGAAATTGTTCACGTAACTGGAACAATTGGAAAAACGTGGGAAACTGAAAACAAATGATTTTTATTTGTGCATCAGCTGATAACTTTATTTGGTTATTGAAATATTTAATTGTACAAAAAATCAATACAAATGGTATTACAATATATGTTTGAAATATTTAATTCTTAATACAGCATATTTATTTTCTTGCAGATTAAATATACATTTAGATAATGGAAACTGATCTTATTAAAGTTTACAAATTAAAGGGAAAAATTTGTTAGGAAAAGAAGAAATTTATAGTGCGAGTTTTCGCAAGAAGTAAATTAAATATGAATATCCATGCAGAAACTGTCTTGGCTTTATGAATGTTCGATCCGTTTTTTAAAAATTCTTTCTTAGTTTCGATGTTTTCGTTTACTGCAAGAAAAATAAAATTATAGGTTATATTGGATTAAAAATATCTTCATTGAACAATTAATTTTTTTTTATTAAATTATTATAAAAAGAATAAACATACATGGGTCCTGTGTGTTTATAAAATTTTCTAAAACGCTTTCCACGTTGACAGCATCTGAAAATAAAAAATCATTAGTTTCACAGGAAAGATAGTCACTTTATAAAAGTACAAATAATTAAAAAATTTAGTTTTCATTTTCTTACCAGTTTCTGAATTAGTCAAATCTTCTACCTCAGTTTCAATGTCATCTTTAACTGAAAACAAATATATCCAATTTAAATATTTATGGATTTTTGAAAAGAAATCCAAATACTTACTGGGTTTTGTTGGGACTGGAATATACATCGCATCAGGTTCAATGAATTCTTCAACTGAAACATATTTAAATATTTACTGATTAATTTCATATTTACTGATTTATCAAAAATGTAAGTAAATACTTTGATATTTGATAAATATGTAAAAAATAACCTTTCTTCTCAAAAGAAAAGAGCTGTATGCCTCAAAATTCTGGCTTAAAGTGGATCTTTTACGCTTTACCAGAGAAATATTCTAATCAAAATGCAGTTAATCTTTCTCGGGAAATCAATGGAAAGTTTCTATGAAACTATTTGTATCTTTTAATCCCAAAACGATAAACTACTTTTGGCAACAAAATAAATAAAGTAAATAACTTTCTGTTTACACTACCTATTTCGGCGGTTTTCCTTTCACGATAAGGTAGAGATGCACTGTAGTTGTTATTTTGTATGTCCACAATCTCTGCATTCTGTATTATTGTATATATCCAACTTAAATATGGGTTTAATTGCGTAAACCTATTTGGTTTCCGAGCTTCTAGATTAGATTCTCGTTTATTTTTCGATGGCGGGCCATAGGAAATGATTCCAACTAAGTTACTTTCATGAATAACGCCATAGCCGGGATATATATTTTCCTCATTCGAGTTTTTCCAAACCTGTGGCAGGAATAATATGTATAGGATTTCTGTAAAAATTGATAGAGTTACTTACGTAAGATTCCACGCCCTCCTCCAATGGGGAATCGGTAAAATCGTAGTCAGCGACTAAAACCCATTCAATATCGTTTCGCTCAGAAAGAGGTAGTTGCATACTGAGTCTTAAGATCGCTATATCATTGTCCAACGATGAGAAATTAAACCCTGGATAGGTGTCTATGCCACCAACAAGGTATATCAACTCGTTTAAATCGTCGCCTTTGAAGAATACAGCCAACTCATCAGCTTTTAACAATTCCCTTCCATTTACGAACTCGCTATCACTCAATAAACACGATGCTGATGTTAAAACCAGACGGCTCTGAATGATGTTCCCATAGCAGTGGGCATCAATCAAATCTCCTAAAGTAGTCCTTTTGCGCAAAAGGACTTGGTAGGAAGGACGAGAGTACTCATTTTGCGCCAACGGGAAAAAACACATAATAATCAGAGCTACCGAAATCATAGTATCATAGTACGCGGGAGAACCTTGACTGTCTTCACGGCTTCCTTACACCTTTAAGATAGTAAGCAGCCTCAGATGCCCAGCACAGATATGGCTTATCTTTTTATAATTTGCTTAAGTACAGCGGAACCCGCATTCCTGGGCTTTAAGTTGCCTGCGATAATTCAGCATAAACAGGTGTGCGAAGTAACACTTTTTTTTATTAAGTGTAACTAAGGAAGTACTCAAAACATTAATCTTATAATGATAACAACCCGCAGGAAGAAGGCGAAATTATGGTATCTTATTTTGCGTGTTCCTACTGTTTCACTGTTGATCGTCTTGCTTCATAAAATAAATGAAAAATTTAAGAGGGCAACTCACTAAACACGTAAAATCTTTTAAGGGTGGACGAATTTTCAAGCTATATTTTATATTTTAGATATTAGAACTAAAGAAACAATACAAATTGACTAAGCCCTAGCGAGCTAAAAAGATTATTTTACCTCGCAGTTCAACAAACTGTTTTAGTTCCTTTTGTTTATTGCTTTAATTGGAGATAGAATAACAATTTATATAAGCAGTAATATTTACTTGCTTACATAAGCTTAGACTGCAATTTGTTTGCAAACGCAGCCGACAGTGTAGTAAGCGCATTATTTATGATTTCAAATGAACTGACGCAGAAATGTATAAATAAGTAGCACATTATTTGATAAAAGAAAACAAGAGAGAGCTGAGTGTTTCGACTTTGATGTACCCAGCTTTCCTTGAGTTAAGGGTAGTACTAAATCAGCATTAACAGTCCAGTCAGATTGCCTGGCTATTTGTACTGTAATTCTTTATGATAACAATGAAAATAGAATAGCAATATTATTTAGGCGCAAATTTACATATGCATATACACGCCCATACAGGCCCAAGTAATCCATTGCAATAACCAGAGTTTCTAAATAACCTTTTCATAGAAAATGGCTCTTTTTCTCCTTGAGGATCAGAATACTTCAAAATAGGATTAAACAAGAAGTACTGCTTCGGTTAGTTACCATTTTACTGGCTACATTAAATTTTAAAACAATAGGCCACACTTTATATATAAGTAACCTAAACTTACAAATACACAATGAGCTTAAACAGCGAAAATATTTACATGTTAGCTTCTAATGGTTTGCAACAGTGCTCTTTAAATAACAAAAGGTTCAAATTTTATTAACTTGAATATCGAGTACAATAAATCGTTTAATTTAAATGAAACCCCTTTTCCTTAGTTGCTGTTAACAAGCGCTCCTTCATGATCTCTTCAGTTGGGTAGTCGGGAAGCTTTAAGTAGTGAACGCATGTGTTCACGGATGGATAGCTTCCAACGCCAGCATCTACCTTTCGAACAACTGTCAGTCGGGGATGAAGGTTGGCCAGTCCTCCTGGGGGCAGGCTACTGCAACCAGTTGTGAATTGGAGGAACGCCTTCCTCTCATCTCCCGACATGCTTAACAAAACGTTAACAAAGCGTTGGAATCCGGGACTGAAATTAAAAATATTTAATTAATTGTACTATATTGAAACACATCTATCTTTTTAAAACTTACCTGTCTTTGTTGTAACCAAGTTTTGGTTCAGTGTATGAAATAATGTCTTCTCGGCTCCAATGGGGGAACTGCTCGCCACAAATCATCATTCGCGCCTCTGAGGGAGTAAAAGCGGCCAACTTCTTCAGAGGGAACACTTCGTTAAACCCATCACTGAAGGCTTTCATTTGCTGAGCGATTCCGTCCTGCAGTATGAAGTTCATCAGCAGTTCGCAGTACGCTTCCAAGTTATCGATGGTGACGTTTACTGACGATCCATTCGGCAGCAATTCGGCCTGGGTGTATCCATAGATCGAGGAACTCGGCAGATACGTGAACGTAAGGGACAAGTCTTCGAGAGATACCTCTAAGCCATTTTGGGTGTGCAGCTTAAGCTCGTTGGTAAGCTCTTGTTTCTTTTCCGCGCTTATCGTATCGTCAAACTCGATTGACTGCTTTCTCATCAATAGGTTTTGCATTTCTTGCAGGAATTGATAACGAGTTGGATCTATTTCCTTCAAGTTTTCCAATGACAGAATACCCCCAAATGCATTGGACTTGTTGGAATCAGTTCGCAACAGTTTAGTGCAGGTTTCTACTATATCAGATTCTTCGGATACGACTGAAAGGTCGCCATTTCGTCTATCCGAAATGACCTTTTGGAGATTACGTGATAACACTTTGTTGTGACAAAGCAGCTGAAGAAATGATGTTGATAATGGTATGTCTACCAGGCGCATATCCTGCAAAACCTTTGCCACGAAAACGCCGAAAAACCAAAAGTATTTGAGAACCTTCTCACATATCTCGGTATTCTGCGGTAGTGGTGCTGGGAAAATTCCGTGTTCCCTGCGATTTACGTAATACCCAACAGGTTTTGAGTTTCCTTCCGCAGTCTGCGGCGAGATTTCGGTGTCCTCGCCCAAATCATCGTCACACAGCCACATACATAGGTCGGAACGCTGAATTTCTGCGGCCACCAAGGCGTAGAACTCCAACGTTGGTCCCAAACCAGTTCCTTCCTCATCCAAAAACTCGACCTCCAGCACGGACTTTCGATTGCAGTGAGTCTTCATGACCTGCATTGCCCACATAAGCAGATCCTCGTTTCGTGGAACTTTTACGCGTTCGTGCTTTAGACGCCCAATGCGGAATTCGTGATCATCCCGCCGCGGACTCATGATGGGTATCCTCTGCCTTTCCACAGTGACATCTCGCTGGGACTGTAGGCATACTATGCTGCGCGAAGCTCCAAACGATGTGCAGTTAAAGTACAACTGTCTGGTCTCAAACGGAAACAAAAAGGGGCACGATTGGTTTAAGTTCTCACACCAATTCGGCAGCGCGTTGCTGGCGAGCACCAATGGATCCTGAATTTGCTGCTGTAATTTGTTGGTTATTTTCTTGCTGATGAAGAGATCTTCGGACAACACCGATACACCGTGCTCCTTGACATCCGAATCGATTTCGGACTGATTGAGACCATTGATTTGAGTGAGCAGCTCAAGTACATCGTCCACGGAGCACAGGTTGTTATCGGCTACGTTGAATCCGATGTGCATGGGCGAGTTCGGAGACAAAGTTGATGCACCACTCTTTGAGGACACATCGGGCGTTTGCGGAAACTCCTCCGACTCCAAGCAAGTGCTCTCCTGTGCCTCGGGTGATACCTCCCGGTACACAATAGTGTATGTGGGCTCCCATATCTTTCGGAATTTGTCAAGCTTGTTCAACTGACTGCACTGAAGTAATTCCTGTACCGCTCTGAATATGGTCCAGTCGGTGTTGCTCAGGTCGATTTCCACTTCTGGTATACCACCGATTCCAGGACCCCGCAATTTAAGGCCCAGCAAGGGCTGCTCGATAGTCTCAGGCCCACTTTGCTGGGGTTTCGGTAGTTCAGCGCCAAGGGGGGATATTTCCAAATCGGAAGTTTGGTTGACGTTTGTTCGACCCGGTCGTGGATCGAAAGCAGGTATCAACGCGGAGAACTGCCTCTTTAGTACAAACTCGTCGTCCCAGGACTTGCGCTTGGTCACACCCACCAACCTGTTCTCCATAGCCTCGTCATCCATAAAGGTAAGCAAATTTCGGGAGACCATCACTTGCAGCAATGTGTTTCCAACCTCTTCGTACTCGTCCTCGTTCTCCTCTTCATCGTTGTCCTCATCCATGTCGTCTTCATCGTCCAAGTCACCCAACAAGGCTGGCGCTCGGCAACTCTCCAAAAAGTCTTCCAGGGATACTTGCTCACTGTCACTCGATGTGGATGTTAGACTCATTGTTAGGGTATGATTAATAGTGGATGCCGATTGCTGTCCCGCAGAGGTATTCGAGGGATTCGACGGAGCTATGTTTTCGCTATTATTAGAGGATAGACTTGGGTAACTTTGGGCGGTGCTAAGTAGTCCAGAGTGGAAGTTGCTTGACAATGCCAACTTAACTAAACTGGTTACCGAGTGGCCGAGGAATGAGCCTGAAGCGTTCTGATCGCCGTGTTCGTTCACATTCGCTTCGGTATTCATAATCTGATTATCCTGTATATTGGTACCTTGTGAGGTACGACGACGAGCAATTGCGGCAAATGTCTCCAGCAAACCGGTGTGGGTAGCCACTTCGGAAGTCGAGGGAACCTCCGAAGCTGAAGTTGTTGTCAGATTGGGAACACTGATACTCATCTGGCTGGGTACCGAAACGTTTTCGGTTGAAATCTGCGGATCCTTAATGTCCACGATTGATAGCACAGCATTTGGTTGCTGAGCTGGTTTCAGGGTTACACTGGGCTTCTTTGAACTCTTTGTGGGGAACTCTTCGGTTGTAACTATGATTTGCTTTTGGTTGGCATTATCTGGATTTATTAGAGCCTGAGCCTTCGGGGTCTTCTTGACGCCAACTGGCACATTTGTGCAGGGTACTGGGAAGGTGTCAGTGGAAAGAATGTTATTGGAGTTGTTCCGAATCATGTCCACGCCATCTCGCATTTTGTCGATCATTTCGAGGGCTTCGGTGGAAAGTTGTGTGACAGGTGGACAGCCAGCAATGTTCGAGGTTCGGAGATTCGCGAGGAGATCTTTGGATATCTTATTCACCGAGTTGTTGGCGTTCATCTTATTGTTTTCCTCAATGTTAGATATGTTTTTGATATCATTCTCTCGCGGCGACGAGCTCTGTACATCTGGATGGCTTGAGCTCTGACTCGCAGTAACACTTTCAGCGGGCTTGTAAGAGGGTGTGAGGACGCTGCATATATTTTCCTTGGACAATTCAGTTAGTGATAAGTTCTCCGAAATGGTAGCTAGGTCAGAAACAATGCTTGAGTTAATGGCCGGCATAGAGTTGTTGATGGCAGACAAGTCCGATATGTGCTCCAACTCTCGGCTCAAAGGTGACGGTCCGCTTATGTTATCCTTATGCATTTGGTTGGTGCCAGACTCCTTGTGCTTGGCTCGTGCTTCCCTGGAGGAAGAAGTGTTCATAGCAAGTTGATTTGATATAATCTGTGTCTTGGCCGAAGCAAATACGTTCTCTGCAA